ATAATCAGAGTCCAGGGAGCGAATTCAGTTCCAAATGGCTGAGAAGGAAAGAAACCACCTGATGAGCTGGATCTCCCACTCTGGGGGTCAGGGTGACAGCCGCCAAATCAGAGCACCTCACAAGCATAATATAAAAAAGAGTGAAATACATGCAATTGATAAAAACTCATTCCCCAGTCTTGTTGCCCAGCTCCAAGGAGCACATAGGTGGGGTCTCTTAACATAAATCAGCATTAGGAGATTCCCAGCTAAGGGATGCCAAAACTTAGCTACAGGGCTTGGAGGCTTTCTGCATAACTATGACCCACTGAAGCAAGTCTAAGGTTCTAACAGAGCACTGAGATACAGCACAGAGAGTGAGGGAGACAATTTAATTTGATTCTATTCTAGCTGACCAGGGAGATAAAGCAATAAAAAAATCCTCTGATCTAATAAGGCACCAGCAGTCTAGATAGGACAATTAGCCCACCTTCCCTCTCAGTGATTCTACACAAAGCTAGGGAGGTCCTGCCTGTCCTGGGGCCCTATATGGGGCTGTGGGAAAACCCTGCCCCCTGCCCCATCTGTAGTGTTACATACAGCACAGGGCAGGTATATTATAAAAACCAGAGCTGAGATACAGGAGAGAGAAAACAAGAAAACGATGGGGAAACTTAATGTCGCTAAAAGTTGGTTCTTTGAAATAATTAACAGAACTAATAGACCGCTGGCAAACCTAACCAAAGAAAGGAAGGAACAAACGACATTTGCAAGGATGAGGGATGAAACAGGGGACATTACAATGGACACAGATGAAATCAAAAGGATAATTACACAGCAATATGAACGTCTATACTATAATGAATTCAACAATTTGGAAGACATGGACAAATATTTGGAAACACAATCCCTCCCTAGACTATTCCAGATATATGTCAAGAACCTCAACAGACCCATACCAATGGAAGAAATAGACAAGGTTATCAAGGGATTACCAACAAAAAATTCCCCCAGGCCAGATGGCTTCACAGGA